TGTAGCTCAGTGGTAAAGTGCCTGCCTAGCATGTGTGTAGTCCTGGGTTCAATCTTCAGTATGGGAAAATAACTTTAACTAGGAAAGATTAACCATAATGGAATCTTTATCAGTCCACTCTTGATATTTAAAGGAATGTTATATTTTTAACTGTATCTTTTGCTGCTGTTACCTGATAAAATAACTTTCTAGAAAAAAAAAAAAGATTATTCCTAAGGATTTCCACTAAAATTTCCTGAAAGTATTTGAGAGTTTAGTCATCATCATCCTTCTAAGTATGAAATTTCTTTGAGAACTCAAGCATCATACCTTTTTTTAAATGTACATTTTGTGTGTCAATTAATATTATAGAATGACTTTGCAACTTTATGGGGCCTACCCCAAACCAAGAAGTAGCATGATACGGGGGAAGGAGTAGGCTCTTTGGAACACAGACTAAGCCATCACTAGCTGTGTGACACAGGTCACTTCATCTCTATAAATCTCAGCTTCTCCGTCTGTAAGACAGTGGTGTGGGGGGGTCCTGATTATTGTCAGAATTAAATAAAAAGGCTAACACTTTCTCTGTGGCAGACACTGTACAAGGTGCCTGGGATACACAAATGAGTAAGCCATGGACCTTACTTTTTCGGAGTTACCACCAGTGAATCATGTAATGTGGTAGCTGGTATATAGTAGATGTCCAGTAAATATGTTGTTGAATGAATCAATGAACAAATGAACATTTCATCCTAGTACATGTGATTTTCTTTTCATTTTCCCTTACAAACCCCATCTTTCTATGTGGAAGGAGAAATTAAAGTATATTACACATTTTCTTTAAAACATTATTTTGAATTAATTTTAGAAAAGTGACAAAAATAAAATGAAGAATTTCCTTATATCCCCTACCCCAATTCCCCAAAGTTAACATCTTATACAACCAATGAGGAGTGTGGAACAGTAGCTTTCCCTAACTGAGCTTCCAGATGTGAATACTGAAAGACCCTAGTTAGCAAGACAGACTCCATATTGCTGCTTGACCCACCTGCCTGCCCTTTAGATGAACTCAGAAGGAGGAAGCTTAAAAACCTCCTCCCCTTAGAAAGTCTCTTTAGAAATAACAATTAATCAACTATTGTTTTACAAATGTTCTAACAGCAGGACCTTCGCTTCTGTACCTTTTGCTTGCTTTACTAGTTCTATCCCATGGGGGGCCTAGGAACTGTTGGCCTCAAAGGCGTATAAAACATGTCTGTCTCCCCCCCAGTCGATGCTCCAGTCTGATGCTTGGCTCGGGTCCCGGCTGGTAATAAACTCCTGTGTGGATTTAATATCGGTCTCTGGTTGGTTCTCTCTCACTGGGTGTAACAAATACAGCGGGTTGACACCTTGATTTCAGCCTTTTCAAGGCCTGAGCAGAGGACTTAGTTAAAATATACTAGGCTCCAGACCCACAGGAATTGTAAAATATCGAGTAGTTGTTGTTTTAAGTTGATACATTCATGGTGATTTATTAGAAGCAGTAGAAAACTAATACACATACTATGTCAGGTTTTTGTAGACTGTCCCTAAATATGTGTTTGTCTGATGTTTTAAGTGAGGTCATGTACGGTTGACAGTAACGCCACAGAAATAATGTTGTGTCCTTATCTGTGCATCCTATCAAAGGATTTGTGATGTTTACATGTTTTATCACTGGTGATGGCTGCCTTGGTCACGTGGCTAAGTGCAAGCTTCTGCACTGTAAAGTTTTTGGGGGTTTTTTTGGTACTGGGGATTGAACTCGGGACCTTGCGCTTGCGAGGCTGCACTGTAAAGTTTTATAAGTTGATGAGTACTATATCTTGGAGAAGATACTTTAAGACTACACAAATCCTGTTTCTCCTCAAACTTTTTCCTAGAGTCCATTAACTTTAGCATCACCTGTGGATCTTGTCTGAAAATATTAATTACTGTGGTGTTTGCCTAATAGTAGTCCTCTATTTCCTTCTTCCTTCTATATTTACTGATTGGATTTCTACTGTAAGGAATCACTATCTCTTCCCTATTCATCCCTCTTTTTTCTATTTACTTGATTATTTATACCCCTGTGACTTCATGGGTGTATGCTTTATTCCAGGAATTTACCTCCTATACTATCACTGTTTTTCAAATTGCACCAGCTTAGATCATTAGGAACATTTCTAAATATTGGTTCCTGAGTTCTTTTCACAAGCCTATGTCTGGTTTTGAGCCTTCCCTTACTTTTTGGCACCTATGATGTTCCTGGCTCATTTTGTATTTTCCTTGCTCCAGTTCTGAAACCAACCATTTTTCCAGAGGTAATTTGTTCCTTGTTTGTTGGAGAATGATGTTTATATCTTGGTGTTAAATATGGTTGGTTTTTAGGGTGTCAGTGCTTTTAGATCTTCTCAGAGGATGGAGCTGGATAATATGAGTACTCTACTAATCCATTTATACTTAAAATTTTATATTTCTGTGTTATCTATCTGTGTATATATTTAAAAGCCATGAGTTTTATACCAATACCTCTATTTCCAATCCAATACCACAAAGTTCATTTTAGATTTCTCCCTTCGCTTATTTGTAACTTCTTTCTCCACAGTGAAAAACTCAGCAATTGTCTATTTACTTATTTGTTTAAAAATATTTGGGGGTGGGGGTGGGGTGGTGTGTGTGTGTGTGTGTGTGTGTGTGTGTGTGTGTGTGTGCGCTTTCAGGAAAAGTGTTTTCCTCTGAAGCCTGTAGAATCAGTGGCACAGAATGGCCTCCAATTCCATGTTGGAGATAAGTAACCACAACTTCAGTGATTCTTTGCTTTCTGCTTCCTCCCGAATCCCACCCCCATATCAACCTGTCACATCAAGGCAAACTAAATGAAGATCAACTTCTCTATCCCCCAACCCAACAGTTAGAAGCACATGGCCATGGCCACATTAATCTCTGCTTACTGAGCAGATCAAAAGGAAGTTGTCACAGGGTAAAGATTTTTTAATGCTAGAACTGGACCCAAGGGTTTTCAAAGTGGTTGCTGATGGCTTAGATTTCATTCTGCATCCCAGATGATTCCAGTGGGTATTTCCATATTTGCCCACTACATCCCACTCAGACATTGATATTTAACCTTCTCAGTATCTCTATCAAATACTGAAAATAGTCAATGTCTTCCTTATACCCCTCATAGACATTTTCTGTGAAAAGCAAATGAATCAATGGGTAGATACATACTTGACAATTATGCAGTGCTAAGTAAAAAGGGCCTTGGGTTGTGTCTGTGGCAAGGGGGTTTGAACTGTGCACACTAAGATGCACTTTGTCTTATGATCCACCAGTAGTGGGACCTCAGAGATTGTTGTTCCTGTTATAATTGTCCTCAGCTGAAAGCCAGAAATCCAGACAGGCTGAAGCTGCTTTAAGGAATGCGGTGGCTAACAAGACAACACATCCTGGGAATCTCTTAAAATAGGAAGATCAGAAGCTTTGGCTATTGAAAACTTTTTAAAAAATTCATTCATTCAACAGCCATTGCTGTGTGTCTCACTAAGGCATGGGAAAATTAGAAGCACCACCTCTCCCCTAGGGAAATTTAGAGTAGGAAATGCAAATGAACCCCCAGAGCAGAGAAGACAATGAAAGCTGTCATTTCTTGAAGACCACCTGTGAGCCAGGGACAGCTGTTAAGGGCTGTCTACACATTATCTCATTTAATACAAGCAATCACAGAAGATAAAAATTATGATCTTTGACAATAACAAGGAAATTAACTATCAGAGGGGTAAAGGAGGTTGTCCAAGGCCACACATGTAATAAATGTAAGAGTCAAAACTAAAATCCAGGTTTATCTTAAAGCCAAAGCTCATATTCAATTTCTCCATACTAATAAGGTGAGAGTAACCCACTCACTGAAGACATATTTGAGTGTCTCTCTTGTTCCAAACATTGTTTGAGGGGCTAGTGATATAAAAGTGAAAAAAACAAAGTCCCTGTTTCATGCGGCTCATGTTGTCCTGAAAAAAAGATATAATATATAGTATGTCAGGTGATGATAAATGCTAGAAAGAAAAATTAGGTAAGATAAGAAAGATAGGGTGGGTTGGATTGCTATTTTAATTGGAATGGTTGGAGAGGGCTCTAATAATGTGAAGTATAAGCAGACCTAAAGGACACACAGGAGAAAGAGCCAGCACTGGCGCAAAGAAGACCTTCCTTTTTGCCTACTAAACTGGAATAAAGGGAATGAGGTTGGGGTATAGGAATTCATGGAAAGCATGGACTCAAAGTCAGAAGACCTGACCTTTACTCCAGACGATTTACTGACAGATCATTTCACCTTTGAATTGAAATTGTCTTTGCTGGGAGAGAATAACGGTTCGGCAGATAGTTGCCAGGAGGATCCCAAGAGATAGCCCACGTGAAAGCCCTTTGAAAATAACACAGGTGAAACATGCTTGTAATCCCTGCTACTTAGCAGGCTGAGGCAGAAGGATCAAGTTCCAGGCCACCCTGAACAACTTAGCAAGACCCCGTTTCAAAGTAAATAAATAAAAAACAATGAAGATGTACCTCAATAGTAGAGAACTTTCTTAGCATGCATGGGGTCTTGGGTTCAGCCTCCAGTACTGCAAAAGTAAAGATAGATAAATAAATAACACAAATAAGAGCAGAAGTCAACTTTTCAACCAAAAGGAAGCCTGCGTAGGAAAATAAATGATATCTTTATTTCAGATGCAACGGTTACGATAGGCATCTTTTTGAAAGCCTTCCCATGCTGAAATGAGAAATGAACTAAAAGAAGCATAGCTTTCATAATATGCCTCTGTTGAAGATCCTTAGTTAAATTTCACTGGTCAGAAATTGTGTCGCGTATTTTATCTCAAGTAGGAAAAAGGCTCTGGGATTCAAGTCTTTAGTTGCCACGCCCCTCCTCTTGAACTCCACTTCCCAACATGCCCCGGGCTAAACCAGCAGCCATTGTGATGCTATCCTTTTGCCTTCTGGGAAGTGTAGTTTATTCGTTTTTCAACCGCGGGAAAATCCAGGGTTGTGGACTACCACTACCGTGAGGTAGTGCGCCGTCCCGCCCCTTTCGCGGCGTCTTCGAACGCGCCGCGGCAGCCATGTTGGTCGTGGCCAACACAGGTGCCGGCACCAGGGGTTTACTGAAGCAGCTGTCACGATGTTGGGATCCTTGGTATTGAAGAGAACAGCGCCGGCGCCGCGGCTCCTCCTCCGGCTGCTCGGGGCTCCATCGATCCAGAGCCATGGAATTGCCTTTGGCCGGAGTGTAATCACTGGGGACCGCGTGGAACTACAGTGGCTGAGAGCGGCCGCCGGAGGGCGCCCTGGAACATCTTTGGCCTTGCTCCCCGAGCAAGGAGCAGCCACCGGGGGGCGCCAGGGAAGACTCAGAGAGACTCAGTACTTGGCTGCCTCCACGTGGGGGCGCCTTCCTACCCCCGAAGAAACACTCCCAGGACACAACTGGAATGGGTTCCCTAACAGAGCTGGACTGGGCGTGTGGGCCCTGGCCACGGCGCTGGTGGTTCATTGCTACAGCAAGAATCCATCCAACAAGGGTGATTATGGGGCCACATTGGGTTCAAGGGGGTGGGAAAGGGGGGAGGAATCCTGACTGCATCTTTGAAGGATGGAGGGGGGCGGGGTGTGCTTGTAATTTTAGACCTGCATAACCTCAGTCTTGGAGGGACCAGACGTATGGTTCCAGTGGCAGGGTGTTGCACTGAAGAGCTAACCTGCTAGTTGGATACTCTCGCATCATAGGTCAATCTCTTCAATTTGGGTTTCACTTTTTCTACTGTACAGTGGGAGTATTGGACGAGACATGTAATTACAGCGTGATCCTCTTCTATTCTAATATGCTGTCTGGCTTTTCCTTCTTCAAGAGGTTTTCAGTAAGCCTCAGGTGGTTTTAATGGCATAGAGAAGTTGCCTACGTACAATGGTCTCAGAAAGGAAGACTTGGATCTCTGGCCTCAAATTCCACACTTTACAGTGGGACAAGGAATGATTTCTCGGTATTTTTATAATACTGTTATTTTGACCCCTCTTGTAGTTCAGTGGCCTATGTCTGTCAGTCTCACAGTTTTGCTGTGTCTGGTCTCAGGCTTGAGGTGATCTTACCCTGTGAGTTGGCAAAAGGAAGTTGGATCCCTGGAGACCCAGAGCAATGGGAGCAGGAGGAGTGGCTGACCTAGACTGGCCTCTCAGCTGGGTGCAAGAAGCTGAGCTGAACAGAGAGAGTGGGCAGACAACCAGACTCGGGTGACCTGTGTGAGCCCAACCACTTAGGTTCTCAGTTACTCTTAAGGAACACGCTGAAGCATGGTGTCCATGGATTCCATGGATCCCAGCCTCTGAGATTTTGGAGCAAATGGACTGCCTTAACTTTTATTTATTCAACAGGATGGGGCCTGTTGTAAAAGAAGGGCTTTGAACAGTGAATGAGGACACTGAGCATTTTTAGTTCTGTGTTTAACTCCCATTGTGAATTTAGTCTTTTGCTCTTCCTCACTGGCCCTGTTTCCACTCCACAAAATGAGAGCATTGAAATAGATTCTGAGGGCTCTGCTGGTTTATGCATGCCATCATTCTGTAATTTTCAGCCTTTTTTGGATACCTTCTGTATGCCTAGTTTCAGGTTAGGTGTTTGGGAGTCCTGACAACACTGTCAAAGGGACTGTGCAGGCAGTTAGGTGTGGGGCTGGTGCGTGGTGCTATGTGCTGTTGGAAGGTTAGAGGGCCAGCAAGGTCAGGAAAGCCTGCCTTGAGGATTGGAGACCCTTGAAGGATGAAGCAGGGGAAGTAAAAGAGAGTGATATCGTGAGTCCCATGGGAGCAGGAAATGCATCCATTTTTTTGACAATACTAGTAAGTTTCCCCACAGTGTCTGTTAATATTAACTTAATGGGTACTTAGTAAATAGAAATAAATTGTGTTCCATATAGAGTAGAGCCTTCAGTCAGTCTGGTGTGTGCGGGGGTAGCATAGTGGTCTGTGTGGGTTGAGGGGAGACCAGATAGAACAGGATCCACATGTCAGGCAGGAAGGTTTGGAAAATTTCTTCTGAAGGCAGTGGAGAGTCATGAAAGGTTCATGAATAGGAAATGTCCTGCGGCCAGTGTGTATGCATGAATTGGAGAAAGCTGTCCCAAGTCTTGCCTAAGGTTCCTGGGGGCTCCAAGCTGGACTTTGTAGCATGTGAATTTCAGGAAGGAGAGAGACATGGGTATATTTACCAAAATAGACAGTGGCCAAAGCCATGACCAGTCCTAACCTTCTGATTTGCAAGCTAACTTGTGCCCTGACTTCACCCTTCAGGAGCCAGTAGGCCCTGGTTTAATCTCAGTTCATTCCTCACTCCCTTAACCTTCAGAAGCCACTCTTATCTGCAGAGTGTGGGCAGAATAAGTAGAGCTGTCTGTGAAGAAGGGTAGTCCCTTTGCAGCTGGAGGCTCTCTGAGAATGTCACTGGGAGAGCAGTTAGTAAAAGGCAAGGAGGGAAGACCTGGCCATGGGGTACAACAGAAGGTGGAGTGGAGGCACCAAGGTCTGAACAGAACTGGGTTTCATGGGCATAAGGTGGCATCTTGAAACTGAGGTTAGGGGGCTAGATGAGTTGGCTAGGTCACATAGCAAGCAAGTGTGCCATTGGGACTGCCTGCCCCTAGTGAGCCTTCTCTCATGTCTCACTGGATGAGTCTTGTAGCTGGACTGAGAGCTCCTTGATGAGGCTGGGGAGCAGTCAGTCCAGTGCCCAACAATGTAGCTCAGAACCAGGCTGGACACAGAGGGCACCATGGTCACTTGGTGTTCAGCTATGAAATAATTGTGCTCCTGCTGTTGACTTGAGTTTTTCCAAATCTGGTGGTTTTTCTTTGTGGCCGCAAGGTGGTGCCAACAGACCAGCTGCCTGGGCCAGAAAAGCCAGGCGTAGTGCTGATTTTCTGTTAGGCCTGGTTATTCCTCTGCTGTGGGTCTCCCTTCTTTATGCTTGAAACTCGGGAATTTGCAGATTTTTCAGCCATCATTCATCTCTTCAGCGTTCTTGTTAGGCTGGCAGAGCAAGGACTGTTGTCTCTGCTTGATAGTCCAGGAAGCAGTGGTTGAGAAGGAAAGGGGTGCCACATGTTGAGTAGGTGGCAGAGAGTTGGAGCCAGGCAGGTCTTGATCCTGGTTGAAGTTGTCTCTATTCTTAGAGAGGTCCACATTGCTGCCTGCCACTCTCCATTCCCTTCCATTTGGGTTTATGACCTGTGACATCATGATTCAAAACTAGGCTAAAGAAGTAAAATTGGGGGAGAGAGTGGGACCAGGTTGGGGAATGGTTAAGAGTAAGATAAAACATACACAGAGCTTTGTAGCTTAGGAAGAGCTGGGGAATTGCTCAATGGGTGAGATGAGGCACTGGTTCTTCACCTGCATCCCTGTACGGTAAGAGGAGTGGAGAGTTTGGATTCTGTTAGAGAAAGGATGGAAGTCAGGTTAACAGTGGACAGCACATGGGGAGGGGATGATCAGCTTTCTTGTGGCATTGGTTCCCTTGTTAAAGCCCATGTTTCTGAAGTACTTCCGCTGCTTAGTGGGCCCTTCGAGCAGCTCTGAGGGGCAGGTCCTGGCCAGGGATCTGACCAGTGCCCCTCTTTCTTCAGATGCAGCCCTGATGGAAGCTGCCCGAACCAACAATGTACAAGAAGTCACCAGGTGAGTGTTGACCCCCAGGCCTTGCTCTCGCCCACAGGAGGGGCTGAGCAGGTGAGCGCTTTTCTGGTGTGACTGCCTTGGACGAAATCCTCACCCTGAACTGAGAAATGTCCCCTGTCATTTCTCTGTCTTCACACAGTCACCTGGCCTCCCTTGGCCCAGGTCAGTCTTTACCTGTCTTAGATAGGGAGACACCCCCCAAATATCCATGAATGTTCAGCTGGGGTGATTTGGAGTCCCTTCCAAACCTTGTGAATCTTCCTATTGTTTCTCTCTGAAAGTGGCCACATTACTGCTTGCTGTGTGGATCCGATGTGGATGAGCACCCAGGGGAAAGGCTTGGAGATTTAAGAGGGAGCTGGAAGAGACCTTTGTGTTGGAGGTGCTCTGGGGCTAGGAAGGCCTGTCTGCAGGGCTAGGGCACCATGCTGGCCCGCTCGCAGGGACAGACTGTAGTTCTATGGCCTTACGGGCTCAGCTGGTCCCACAAGCCCCTGTGGTAGGATTTGAGGCTTGTTCCTGAGCAGGGCAGGACTCAGCCTCGTGCTAGGAGTAGGGCAGAGTCTGTCCAGGATGGGTGCTGAGACTGGACCAGCATAGAGTATCAGCTTAGGGCGATTGATTAGAGAAATTACAGACTCCTCTGGGTCCCCCCTTGGCCCCTTGAATAGATCTAAGTGGCTATAGGCACCCCCATTCCTGCCATCATACCCACATTTTAGACAGGAAGTCAGGTGTGGGGTACCACGAATCCTCAGGGGTGTTGCCCACTCCAGCTGCCTGAACATGCAACAAAGTATTGAGAGGCAGCCACACAACCCCACCAAGACTTACTGCTTTGATTCTCTTTCATTTTATCTGCAGCATTATTATTGATTCTCAAGGGTGCTTTTGAGTATTAATGTTCAAGGCTTAGTTTTTAATAAACCACTTTTGGAAGTGTGGGCTGGGAGTTGTTTTGTAGCCAAATAAATATGATGGAGCAATAGTTTAATAAACATGCAATGATGAATCTTAAAAAACCAAGCACAGATGTCATCTTGTTGTTATAAGAGCCATTCATAACTGCAGGCTGTGTGTGGCATCTTCATTGCCCCAGAAACAGATGAGCCTCACTTCATTCTGCTGTATTACAAGGGAGCGAGGGGGCAGGAGTTGGGCCTTCCTCACCCTGAGCTTACCTGTTGCTACCTGCCAGGCTGCTGGCGGCCCCTGGGCAGCACAGCCTAGATAGTGTGTTTACAAAGCAGCCCCCTTCCATCACTCGGGGAGGCTCAATGACTACCTTAGGTCATTGAGTCCCCAAGTGCTATTTTAATACATGTTTTTCTAATGGCAGCTAAATACCTGCCCAAAGAATACAGAAATTATGTGTGACCCAAGAGAATTGTAGTGATCACTCATTCTTGCTGGGGTGGATGGTGTCTATGGACACTTTTCATGTGTGTCCTGAGTCTCCAGGCTGCTTTTCTCCTCCCTCCTCTCCCTTGGTCATGATGACTCCTTTTACTCCATCCAGTAAAGGAATCCTTTACGGAATCCAAGATGAACAAAGCACAGGCTCTTTCCTCAGCCCCATCTCATACAGAACCATAGCACAAGCCAGGAGTGGTGGTGCACGCCTATAATCCCAGCACTCGGAAGGATGAAGCAGAAGGATCACCATTGAATTTGAGGCCAGCCTGGGCTACACAGTGAGTTTAAGGCCAGCACGAACTACATAGCAAGGCCCTGTCTCAAAAAAGAACAAAAACAACCAGACCCACAGCACAAGGACAAGCTGAGCAAAGGCAGGAGGTGGCAGGGCTGGCTGGCTGGGCCTGGGGGATGTGTTGATGCTGCTGAGGCTGAACTTGTGTGGGGTATGGGGAAAGAGGGACAGTGACTCTAGAGGAGCTGGGGTGTGCATGGCCCGCCGGGATGAGGGCTTGTGTACTGATCTCATAAGCAGTGGGGAGACATGGGAGGATTCTGAGCAGGGGAATAACCTGGTTAGGGCTGTACTTCAGAGGAATGAAGGACAAACTGATGGGGAAAAGGCAGATCTGTTGACTGTTTCCGTAGACAGATTCAAGGTGAGGAAGGCCTGACTTAGGATGTCCTTCCCTCCTCACCCGAAGCAGTTGTTGCTTGTGAAAGAATGAATGGGCATCTGAGGGCACTGAGATGGTGCGTGTGGGGTAGGGGGAGTGGCCCCAGGCTCAGGTTTTAAGGAAACACATATGTAACCCACCAGTCCCAGTTCTTCCTGCTAACAGAGCCAGGGCGGGGGAGGTGAGGGTGGGGAGACGATGCCCACCAGAAGGAAACAGTCTGGAGTTTTAATCAGCCCTAGACTCTGTACATGTACTTCATGGTGCTCTTTCTTCCTTCTTTTGTGTGTCCTGGCCCTTAGCCCTACCCAATACACCAGCCTATAGCAGAATAGAATCCCATTCTCAATTAAAAAAAAAAATGTACACGGTTTACAAAAGGTTGGGTCACCATGTATGTGATCGATATGGACATTGATACTCATTTCTGGAACAACACTCAGACCTGCTGAATAATATTGTTCTTCTTGTGGCTCTGTGTTGTGTGTGGCGCTTCTTTGAGTTCAACCAACTCCTGTCTCCAGCCCAGCACCTCGGGGAAGCTCTATAGGGAAGGACAGCAGCCTGAGGCTCTTCTTGGGGAATTGCTTTATCCTCCCTCTAGGACACCCTGGAATCTGCAGTGGCAGAGCGGTGGATGCAGACCCTCCATACAGACCACCTTCTATGCTTTGCACTCATCACCCTCTGCTTACGAGGCCCGGCCCAGGTGCTGCCTCCCTGTGAAGCCTTCCTTGACCCCTCCCAGCTGGGTGTGATCTCCCTCTCCCTTCTAGTGTGACAGGGTATGAGGGTCTTGAGGAAGGGCCATGCCAGCCCTGTAGTAAGAGGATCTGCTGGATGAGAAGTTGGCAGTCAGGTTGCAGAGGTAGGGCTCAGTCAACACTGAAGAGACAGTCAGGCCACACAGGAAAACCAGTGAGGTTCACATGCTGAAACCAGCTGGAACAGGTCTGGAATCCCCATGCAGTGTGAGACCATCCGTGTGCTTGGACAGCAGCCCTGGTGTGTGGGCACTGTTGGCTGGCCCTCTGTGGACCGGCTGAGTGTGGGTGGGGTGGGCTGCCCGGCCAAAAGAGGAGAGCAGGGTCCGTCACTCACCACATTCTGTTCTTCACATTTCACTTTCAGCCACTCTCATGCCCCTGTGTCTTACCTCATTCCCCAGCTTAATGGGGACACGTTTGCTTTACAGACTTCAGTGTAACTGAAGTGGGTGGTCCCGAGTCTTACTTCCATACTCCCACTGGCTGCATCACAGGGAGGCTGGGTCTCTCTGTCCTTCTTTCCTCCCTTCTTCTGAGGCACTTAACCCTTGTGAGCTTATCCAGCCCTGGCTCTTCAGAAGTGGAAGCCTGGCCTGGCGCGTGTCCTGCCTGTTGGCAGGGTAAGCAGGTGGCCCACACTGGATCCTCAAGAACTGCTCACCCAAGACGGAGGGCACAGGGCAACTGAGCACATCTGTCCAGGTTCAGACTGAGCCAGGAGAGGAGCAGCAGGATGAGAAAAGTGAGGCCTCCTGTTCTCCCATGGAGATCATGTTTCCTTCACGTCAGACCTGTGAAAGACAACACTTCTGCCCCTCTTCCTTCTCCCTGCAGGGAGCTGGGCCTCTGCTAAGTGTCTAACTCAGTCATTCATCAACTCAAACAGTCTTTAATGAAGGAAACCTGGTGGTATCAGCCTCAGACATGTGCTGTCTGCTCTTCTTCTCCAAGATTCATTTGTTTATTTAACAAACATTTACTGAGTACCTGCTGTGTGCTGAGTCCTCTCATTGGCACATAGGACACGTGAGCAGGCTTCATCCTTGCCCTTGATGATAGAATCTGAGTAGACTTTGATGTTGGAGACAGGAGAGTGCAGGTGCTGCAGGAGCCCAGAAGATGCCCCTAACCAGCTGGGGTGATCAGGAAAATGATCCTAGGGATCCCCGAGGAAATGGCACTGATCAGAGGCTTAAAATATAGGGAGGGCTCAGCAAAGAGGTGAAGAAGACATTCTAGGCAAAAGGAATAGTATGACTGGTAGCACCAGGGAAAGGAACAGCCCGAAAGATGTGAGAGGAGGGAAATTACATGTTGATTGTGTCTCTGGATCAGAATCTGAGGCCAGAGGGCTGGAGATAGTAGAGACCTAGTCTTGGAGAATATTGATAGACTATTTGTTCTTCAGTTGCCCATCCATCCAGCCTATTCTCTGTGCCTGGCCCTGAGGTGAATTTAGAGGATGGAGTATGGCAACACAGCGAGAAGAATCAGTTTCTGCCCTAGAGGAGCTCATGCCTCTCTTGGCCAGGAATGAGGACATGAGTCAAAAACCAAGAACCTGCCTAATTTGTCCTAGTAATATGGAAATGGTGGTACTTATAACCTGTGAATTGTGGGGTTATTGTTGCTAATAATTACTCATTCACCCAGAATTAATGAGTGCTTATTAAGAGCTAGACATTGGCTGAGTACTGAAGATACAATAGTGAACAAGACTGGCATAGTCCCTGCCTTTTTTGGTACTTATGGTCTAAGTGGAGCCAGATGAATAATTATGTAACTATAATTACGTACTTCAGAAGAGCGGTTTGTCTTTTCTGCAAATGGTCCTGGGACAAGTACATAGTCAAATGCAAAAGACCACAGTTGGACCCTTACCTAACATCATATATAAAAATTAATCCCAAAATGGTTCAAGGACCTAAATATAAGTACTAACACAATGAAACAGAGAAGAAAACATAGAAGTAAATCTTTTTTTTTTTTTTTTTGATACTGGGGATTGAACTTGGGACCTTGTGCTTGCAAATCAGGCGGCGGAACCACTGAGCTAAATCCCCAGCCCCTAGAAGTAAATCTTTGTCAGTGTGGTTTGGGCAAAGCCTTCTTAGATATGGTATCAAAAGCACAAACCACC